ATGAGTAAAAGAAATCCTAAGATCAATCTTGCATGCAGAACTAAAGCTAGCGATCAAAAACCAATAAAAACAGACTAAGAAGAGTTCCAAAATTAAGAACAGTCTAGAAAACCTATAAGAAAAACTGAAGCGTGGGGCTGCAGACTGTGTGTTTAGGGAGTGAGCAATCTGCGGGTCGACGTCACTGGTGTTTGTGTTTTTTTTTTGCTGGTGTGGACAAGTCTTGCTGGGCGGAAATGCTAGTAACAATTTTTGGGAAAAACTATTTAGTGCTGTCTTGCTTGGGGGACAGACTTTTTTAGAATCTCAGATGGGAATTACATGTGGGGTCGTTGGAGGCGCATAGCAAACAGAAATGAATTTCCACTGGGGGTTCTCGCCTGAGTGCTGCTTGGAAATGAACTCTGGAATCTTAGGCTTAGACACTGGCGTTTTAAAGGAAGGATTCCTCTTGTCAATATTTGATCTGATTTTCCATTATGTGGAATGGGTAGTGGCCCCTCTTTGCGTCGGGTTGCTTCCGAATCAGGTATTTCAATCTCGGTTGCCCAGGTGGCCTTTACAGCGGCCTTTTGGACAGCTGATTGGGGCTGCTTCTAGTGCTGTGCGGTTGAGGTCGGAAAGGGCGGTGTGAGCTGAGTGATGGTCAAGTAGGGGCGGCTGTTTCTTGGCGCACTGACGGCGTTCCTCCTGGCTGGCGAGTTTCCAACAGAGGACCGTTCGGCCGCTTCGTTTCGGTGGGATGGGGCTTTTGAGTGGGATGGAACAATGGATGAAGTGGTGGGCACCGCCAGGGGTGGCAGCGGTGTGCCAGTTGCGAATCGTATGATCACAAGGTCGATTGTGCTACGGGCGGTTCCGTTAGCGAGGGTGGACTCTCCCATCTGGTTTCCAAGGGGAAGTCCATGGCCTGTTATCACGCCCCCAAAGGCATTAGCGTTTCCACCCACGAGAGACCCCACCATCGGGTTCCATAAAGGGTGATGGCGGCTAAAGACACCGCAGAACAGGCAGAACCGGATGTCAACTTTGCGGAGCAAATTAAGAGAATCGGAGCTCGTGATTACCAAATTGGGTCAGATGTATAAAGCCAAAGATATAGAATTTAAAGTTTTGAAGGGTCGCATTGGTGGCGGAGGCCCCCAGGGGGGCTTTTTGGGCAAAGGCCGCCCCCCCCCCCCGTCGCACACGCTGGTGAATTTATTGATAGTATGCCTGTTCCTTCTCTGTGTGCGTTTTCCGCCATGCAGAAGGTATTAACAATTTGTATCTTAAATTAATTGCCTTGTCAAAGGAGAGGCGGGGCTCTCGGTTTGGTAAAATGGTAACGCGGGCCCGGGGCAATTTTGTAACTCTTTGCCCTGGAAACATATCAAATGCTCTCAGAATTGCCGAAAAGGGGCGGGTATTCCTATGATCATCACAACAGAACTAGAGGGTGAATGGGATACCCTAAAGTTTCGTAAATCTTGTTTAAGGATAAAATGAGCGTGAACAACATCTAGCCGGGGTTCATCCCCCTTGGGAAGCATCAGGGGGGGGGGGAGTTATCGCACACCCCGGCCACGGCAATCGCCAGCGCCGAACGCCCCTTGGATGACTTCAAAGCTTGCAGGCAATTAGTATTTCGAGAGAAAGGCTTAAAACCATGGCACAACTTGGGGGTGTAAGTTTTTTGGATGGCAAAATTCACGAGCTTAACTATCATCGTTTCCTGTAAGAAGATATTGAATAAGGATTCTATAAATTTAAAGGAGGTTGCATCATATCTAGGCGATTGGTATGCTTTCCCCTCCCCGTGTGTACGAAATAACCATACATCACAGTATATGTCCGCCAACTCTTCTTAGTGCAGCGGATTAGTAGCCATTTGGCGAAGCTAAGTGCTTGCATACCTTCCTGTGACCAGCGGAGGCATGTAGGCTTGGCTGCTGGTATTTGCAGGGCATTCGGCATGGGCCCTCTCCGAGTCTCTCCAAGCGGATGATACACTCCGACTGAACACTGTTAGCACTTACCCGACTTGGATAACTTTTCCGGAAAAAGACTTTTATTTTTACTTTATTTTACTTGTTTAGCGCGTTCTTCTATATTAGGAATGAGGTTACATAATCATCACACTATGGTTTTACTAGGGTACATCTGATAAATTTAAAATGCACATGCGGGGTGCATCGCATAAAGGGCATTTCGAGGCGCAAGACTAGAAAGAGTCTGTGTCGCATACACAAATTTAGAGGAGTCAAGAACTTAATCTTCTAGGATATCTGCTATCAGCAGTTTAACTTCTTGTTTCTCTCCCTTTTTCTCTTTTCCATTTTTTTCCTTTGCTTTAAAGGGAGTTAAGAAATCAATTCTGTATTGTAGACCCAGTATTGATTTCTTGACTCATTCACATTTTACTTTTTTATATTTTCTCTATCTTAGTTTTAGATCATAGACATATTTTTGAACCTTTTCCCGGTGAAGCTATTCGAGGTGTACGCCGGATAAGAATGAGAGAACAAAAACAGATAAAAATATGAGATGAAGCATCTTTTATGCCATATTTACGAAGCAAAAAAAAAAAGTGAATCTTTAAGCGACTCAAAATAAGGATTAACGCTTGTGCATTAGCTAAATTCGTGCCATCCCCGAGCCACAAGTTGATGGTACGAGAGAGGGAAGATATTATTTTCATTGGGAAAGCGTGCCGCAGGCGCTCATTTTTTCCATTTAAAAAGTGGTCCTACCAGGACTCGAACCTGGGTTTTCGGATTCAAAGTCCGAAGTGATAACCACTACACTATAGGACCGGTCAGCACCTCGCGAGGTTCAACGAATTATGGGATTTAAGGGTCATCAAAAATTAGGCTCATAGCCTCCCAAAATTTACTGCGGCTTGGTGCTTTCGTGATGACACCACGCAGGTGAGTTGATAGCGGGTCTTCAATGATAACGGAAAATAATGAACCGTATATTCAAGCACTGAACCTATTATGATGCACGTATTTTGTTGACTGCGGGTACTGTGTCCGTGTGGCTCAACGGAAGAGCATCTGACTACGGATCAGAGGGTTGCAGGTTCGAATCCTGTCACGGATGTCTTTTTCTTCTTTTTTAAAACTCCGAATTTGATAAAAATGAGGACTGCAGGGATCGAACCTGCGACCCTTGGATTTGGAATCCAATGCTCTACCACTGAGCCAAGCCCCCATTGTACTTTGCGTTACGTATGTAACTAAAAGCAAAACTTGATAAAATCAAATAATCATCCTCTCTATACGGCAATTGTGGTCCAACGGTTAAGATTCTCGCCTTCCAAGCGAGTGACCCGGGTTCGACTCCCGGCAATTGCATTTTTCTACCCCACCTGATGGTGTACTAAACTGCCCCGGGGAAGAGGGGGGGGGCGCAATGCAACTGCTCTTGGGGCATAGGGGTTCCATGGGCCGGTTAGTTATGCTGCCTTAGACCAATTTTACCCGGGTCTCCTACCAAAGCACGCCTGTTTTTTTTGCGCGCGCGCGGGATGGTACGACTTCCTCTACTTCCTAGGTATGGGAAAATACCACGTGTTTATTTTTTCCTTATAAGCGCATGGCTGAATGTGAGGACACGCGATGACGTGCGACAAAAAAGGATCCCATGCGGTGGATTCATTTCTTTGATGCTTTTTCCTTTACGCCACGACGCTTGGGTGTGAGTGGGGGGGAGGGACCTGTTGTTTCCTTCCTAAAACTAAACTGGTTCGAGGACGGTGACACAGGTACCAGGACCGGTCTAGACCAGATCGCTTCCTGTACGACGAAAAGCCCCCCCTGCTCCTCCCGTATGAAGGTTTTGTTCACTGTCCCGTCCCTTTGCAGCAGCATCGGCACATTTGTTTACAACCCTTCTTCCCTTAAAGTGCCGCATACTGTCACTATATTCGATGGGTTCAGTCCCTTTTTGGGATTCTTCTTTCAGGCGCTTTACCTGGCATACAAGGATATTTTGCCCTTGCTTTGAATACTTTCGATACCCCTCTTGTAAAAAAAGGGTGGGTGGGATGTGTCTAAAAGAGGGGATAAAGGGAAAAAGCATGAGTGGGATAGGGATGACTTTCTTCAATTCATCTTTAAATTTAAAGCACACACAGCAAAAGCCAAGACATGTAAAAATGGTGCAGCATGCTGCGCATCCTGAAGGAAAGCAAGTCCCCTGCTGTTTTAGTTGTAATCATTTTTTTCTGAAGGTGGCATGCTTCCGTTCACTGCACTCTATCCTCCCTTTTTCCATGTTCTATCCCCTACGGACTACAGATAGCCCGCGTTAAATCCAACAGATACTTCTTGTTGGCCGACTGCCCGCCGCTCATACAAGACCTGCAGCGCCCGGTTCTCACGCCGTTCTCGGCCAAGTGTTGTTAGGCGACCATGACCAGGCAACAGCACCGTGCCATCCGGGAAGTCCTCCAACGCCAGCAGACTCTCAGCCAGTCGCTCTCCTGTCGCCCAGGGTAAATCCACGCGGCCAACCTGGTTGTAACACAGGACATCGCCCGTGAATAGCAACTTCTCACGGGGAAGGCTCAGCATCATGTGTCCCGGGGAATGCCCGGGGGTGAAAATGTAATACAAAAGACTGTGCGCGCCAAATTCGTAGAAGCTCATGGCGCGATTCGTGGCGCAGGTCAGGAGGATGTCCTGCTGGCGTACGAGTTCCGGGGGAAGCGGCAACTCTGCCCCTGGCCCATACCCATCTTCTTCATTGGTCTGATTGCGCATTCTGGATTTCTGGTGATATCGCTGATTCAACGCGTGCTGCCTCTGCATCAGCCCGTACGCGTAGGAGTTGTAGGTGTAGTTGTTGTTTTGCGCGAAGGGAAGCACTTTCCGAGCCTCTTCCTCGCGTCCATACCGTTGGCATGCTCTCGGAAAGGCATCTACCCACACCTGCTCTGCTGGACACCACATCAGCCCTAAGCGCGTGTTTAGGTGACGCTCCACGATGGTCATGAGTGCCGTGAGATTGACAATGTTGTCGATGTGGCAGTGGGTTAGAAAGACATGTGTGGGCGTGAGCCGCGAAGACGAAATAAAAGTTACCCAGTCATCTGGCCAGTCATCGCAGGCATCGACGAAAATGCAGCGCTTGGTCTGTTTATTGACGAGAAGGAACTGGTTGCTCGAGAAGCCGTTGCAGAAATTTCGCCCAGCAACCATAATGTGTGGAGTCTCGTGCAGGATGGAGATGGGACGGGTTTGCAAGCGCTCGATCCGAGGAATCCCGATCGTGCGTCCTTTGTTTCCAAACTTTATGAAATTTTCGTCCCGGTTCCGCGCATTCGTGAAGGAGGTTAGGTTCGACTGAAACGAATCCCGCGATGGACGCGTCGCGTATAAACCTGACGATGTAAAGCACCGTACCGTATTGGGTAGACTAGAAAGCAAACACACCCCACGATCGCCGTGCCTCATGCTTGCACGATTGTAAACACCGACCGTAATGATAGTAAAAATGTTACTATTATCACAATATCTATCTACCTACCTAAGCTTTTATTCTTCTTCCACCCTCACATCTTTATCATGCGAAGCTTGAAAGGGAGAAAAAGATTGCGAGTGAGGACACAGAATTGGAAAAATTAAGCACTTCCATTTAGCTGTTATACGTACATACAAACGTGCCATGGGTCAGTGGAAAGTGGCTAAGAAAAAACAGAAGGCCCTTAATGCTTCTCAAAGTATTATGTGAAGACGGCTAAATTCAACAAAACACATCCGCATTGCACGATACATTATGGATTACACAGGACAAAATCTTAAGCATAAGGGAAAAAAGCCCCACGTTTACCTACACGTCAGGCTGACAGTCTTAATCCGGCACATTGTGCGCTGTCTGTCCATTTCCGTCCTACTTTCACCAATGCTCATTACTGTTGCATTTCTTTATTCTTAGAAATTACAAGAAAATGAGACTAATATGATCCAGACTTCTTATCAACCTCTGAAAATCGTGAGCGTGCTACGCAAACTAACGACCGTCTTTTTAATAGTGATTGTTCGATACCCTTATTGTGAACCTAGGGGGCTTCCAACATCCTTGCGTTTCGACACTTTTCCGCTACTGAACTTCAAAGGCACCTCATGCCGCTGCAGCGCCCGCTGACAGGCTCATGCAGCACGCCCACCGGATGCCATATGAACTACATACGGCATACATTTGTTTCCATGAGATTCTCTTTTGGTGTAAAATGTGGTAAACCAATTATTCCAAAAAATGCAAGGGAAGTAGGAAACGTCTAAAAGTAGATGAGAGAAAGGGCACCAGAGTGGAAATACGCCCGAAACTATTAGCGCTCATCCATATGTTGTGCATAACGAAATGGTTTTCAATGCATTATTAAAGTTCAATCCAAAAAAATATTTCTATACTTTGTTCTATTTTTCAATTTATAAACTTATACTAACGTTTAAAAAAATTTTTTACTCTTTATTACTATGTGAGGGTAAGACATAACAAATAGGGTTTCAGATTTACACACATTTACTAAGCATACAAAATGAAGCAATAAATATCAACTACTGTAAACATATACTTGTAAGCAACATTTTATAAAATACAGAAAACAATTCAAAATAAACATTAAAAGAAAAGGAAATTAAAGGTAAATCAAAAAAAATTATGAATAGCGGGACAATATTCTACAACATGTTTTATACCCCTTAAAAAACGAAATTAGCATGTAACGACAGCGTGGAATACATAAATAATGCAACGAAATTCCTCAGAGGAAAAAAATGAAGTAAGAATTCACAGAAATCGATATTATTCAAAAAATTTCACTCAATTTATTTGGTGTAAAACTGTTAAAACCGATAAAGAAAAATCAACTGCTATTTACCTTTCTTCTTTCCTTCATTATACATTTAGAACTTAATATATATCGTTTATAACTGTGAGCTATTTTTTTCACCGTCAGCGAAATTATCCCCGTGGAAACAAACAATAGCAGTCGCTTTACCGGGTATCCGAGCTCGTCGATACGACCACCCGCGCGTAAACCGGTGTACCCCGCGTAGTTCAACCTCATCACGAGAATGGCGCTACTCAAACCGAATGCCCCGCCCACCAAAACCTGTGGCATTGTGTGGTCGCCACAAATCACTCGGAGAACTGAGCCATAGATGGCAAAAGCAATAATCAAACCTTGTATCAGCCACAGGAAAAAATAGGAAGGCGTTACACACGTGAAGGTGAGATAACTACAGGGGGCTAGAAACTCCGCGTGGCTACGCTGGAGCCCCTCACAGGCGATGATGGAAAGAAACATCAACGATGCAGCATGGTTGCTCGGCATTCCTGCACTCTCCTTGAGGGCGCCTGACGGTCGCGAATGGTTTAAAATGCGCTTCAGAATCATGTTCACAGCCACCATAAAGCAGCACATGACAGTCATAGAAGGAACGACGACTGTCGTCGCTGTTGGGTCAAAGTAATAAAGATTGACACCAACAACGCAGACGGAGACGAAAATGACGGTGTTTTTATCCATGAGATAGTTGAATCTATGAAAATTTTCGTTCATTGAGATTTTTGGAGTAAACGTGAACATTATGATATAAACGTTAATGCATAAATATATATGTATATTTCAAATATATATTGCCCCTTTATAATTTAGACTTTTGAAAGAGGCGAAAGTAAGGTGGGGATGGGGGGGGGGGAGTGATGTATATAGAGAAATAAAACCGACCAAACACGTGCGGCAACACGAAACACATAACCATAATGTAGTCATTACCCTATAAATACCAATCCAGACCCAACAAGTGACAAGCGGAAGAAAGGGGCCTAATAAAGAAAAGTGAACACAATGCGCGATGATGGCATTACACACACATCTGATACAAAATAACATCACCAACAAGTACTTTGGACTCCCTGCATTAGTAAATAAAAATAAAGTTGAGAGATACAAAAAGAAAGCTTAGCGCTAAAAATGAAAGAAGTCCAAACGTGTCATATCAAGTTTTCCTTTACTTTTACGTTCTTTACTTCCATTCAGTTCAGGAGGGATCGTATTGCCTTTTATAGATTGGTTTTCTACCCTTCTTCATTGTGATTTATGGTCAATCCGAGAGGGGTTAGTGCGAGATCAGGAGTCCTGGAGATATCCTACCATTTTTTTTCCCATGCCCGTTGCTACTATCACTCCCATTAATAGTGAGACAAACCTGCAAAAAAAAAAAATCAAACAGGCAAAGAATATGAATGCCACTTAATCAGAATATTCTTACCAACCCTCGTGAGGACTACAGTGTTAATTAATTTAAATAACCAGACAAATCGTTCTCAAACTTCAATAGTACAACTTGCATCTCTTTCTACTTATCGTCATTTAAGATGAAACCCTTTCCACCCTTCCCCACATTATAAAAAATGGCAAACGTACTCATTCAGATGCTTCCTCAGTGCCTGACATCCTAGAATCCTCGGAATTTATAGCGTATAAGGGGGACATCAACGTCTTCTTCATCCCCAATCATGCCTGTTCCTACAAAACTTAGATAATCTTCCCCTTCCCGCGGGGACTCCCCTTTCTCCATTGCGATCTGTGAGACCAGCTTCAATTTGTCCTTTGCATTGCCACCAAACTGCGTGTAGACAATGCGTCCGCTTGGAAGAGCAAGCATGAATACGGACAAGTGATAGCGTTCCTCCAGTAAACCCACAAGAGTTTCAATCGGAATGTCCTTTCCTTCGTCGATGTCGATGCGATCCCAGATCGTCCAGGAAATGGTATTACCTTCATTATCCACGGCGTAGGTCCGGACCCCCGCAATGATAGGATCCGAGAACGCGAGAAAGGGCAGCGCGATATTCACAAAGGCATTGCGGTAATAGGAGAGGAGTTCCTTTGCCTGACTTAGTCTGGGTATGGAAGGCGCCGGCCCGGAATGGTCGGAGGATTTCTCAAGTTGATATTGAAAGTAGAGGTATTTCAGTAGTTCGAATCCGACAAGTCCAGTCACCAACGCGGTTGTTGTCACCATTGCAGGCGTGATGTTGCCCGCGATGCGCTTGGTCTGCGTGAGGTCCGCGGCTGGGATGCCGTACGCCCTCGCACGGAGATTTGAGCAGTGTGTAATAAAGTCAATGTGGTGATTAGTGGAGTCGTCTTTCTCGAACTCCAGCGGGAACATCTCCTTTCCGGCGAAAAGCGCGGGTGGCGGCAGGTCTTGGATCGTTATTTCCCCCGTGGGCTGCGTTGACGCGTCTTTAGTTTCGTTCTCCGTGGTCGCGAAGACGGCGTGGCGAGGTACGAAGTCAGGCACTTCGATCGCGGCCGCCCTCTTCGCCACCTCCCCTGCGGAGAGCTCAAGCGGTGGGAGGTTGAACACCTTGGCGAGAAGCCAGGCGCAGTGGTATACGAACTGCGCATCGAGTTCGTCGTCCGGGTTAAACGTCTGTGGCGTTGGTGGCTTCTTTGCTCCGCTCCAAAAGAGCCCGCCATCTTCGTTTCGCTTGTCAAGGGGGATACTGTACAGTAATTGCTTGAACCCTTCGTTGAAAAATTCATTGTAGAGAAGACGCGCGGCGCGCACGCAGTGCTCCGGGGTGGTGGGCCACTCCCTGAGGGTGTCATTAACGCGATGGAGCGCCAACGAGGCACCTGCGGGGTCCAGCTCCAACGATTGCTGGAAGGCCTTGGGGTCCTTCAAGTACGCATTGACGTCGCCTGGGGAAGTGTGGAAGAGCATGTGGAACTTATCCCGTGCCCATTGGATCGTGTGTTCGATCGCGTTTGGGAAGTTCTTCAACGTGCAGAGCGGGATCGACTTTTCAGGCGGGTCGTAACTGCTACTGTAGCTTTCCGTTACATACGGTATCACACACTGCACATTGCCCTTCGCCCCGAGGGTTCCACTCTCAAACAACGGTCGCTTGTAGAAAAGGCAGCGCCCGTCCACGTACTTGCGGCTGCTCACGTTGTCCAGTGCGTTGAGCACCACCGCATGGAGGTTCCAAAAGGTCTCGTTAAAGATTCCTTCCGTCTCGGGACCGATCTTTTCTTCATAACACGTCGTGTTGAGCTCGGGGTTGATCTCACGCGCGGCGGCCGCCGCGACAACGGACTTGGCGTTTCCAATGTGATGACTCCGAAAGAGAAACTGCCGCGAAAGGTTGCTCAGCTCGATTTGATCCATGTCCGTGATGGTCACGCCACCAAGTCCCATCAGGGCGACATTTTTGATATGCTCACACCCCAACGCACCGGCACCCACGATAAAGGCGCGCTGCTGGTGCACATAGGATTGGAAATCCGCCCCCAGCACAATTTCCTGCCCGGTGTAGCGACCGTTGGATAGGCCGCAACGCGCCCCCATCCACTCACCTGGGGTGCCGGGCCGAGCTTTCAGCAACTCTCGGGCGTCGTAGTATAGCCACTGGTGGATGGGTGTAAATTTACCGCTGCAGAGCTTCAGCACCTCCTGCGCGGCGATCGCGCCGATGAAGCACGCCATCGGGTTGAGGTCGCCCGCGTAAACCGCAAGCACCTGCCGGGCGAGCTCGACGTCAAGCCCGGGATTCCACGCGAGCGCGGCGCGCAACACCCCTTCCATCTCCTCAGCACGTTGGAGAGCCCCGCCGGCCTGGGCGACGGCGCGGAACACGGCGTGCAGCGTGCTCGCCGCGCCCGCCTTGGCTTCGCCGTCGAAGATCGTCACGTAGCGGGGCGCCTCGAGCGCGTCCCGGAGCGCGCGAAACGACAGCCGCAAGGTTTTCTTGGTGGTGTGGAGGTGGGTACTCCGGCCGATCACGACCGGGGCATCCGCCGGGAAGTCCTTCACGCGGAGCAGGTACGGGGAGATCACGTCGGCGACCTCGAAGAGCCGCGGCGGGGCCCCGCCGCCCGGCGAGTTCGCCGCCGCCGGCGAGACCAGCCCCGTGAAGTAGACCCGCCCGCCGACCTCGCACTCGTGGGGGCGGTCGTGCAGCGTCACGAGGCCGTCCGCGCCGATCCC